TTTCGAATAATTCTCTATGTTTGACGGATTTTCAAGAAAAGCTGAATTATTTTTATTTAACTATTTTAGTTCATATCGTTCAGGGTTTTGGCTAAAAATCAAGATCTTGCAATTATAGTTTACAAATATTTCATGAATTATTGGATTATCTTGACTCCCATACCAAAATCTATTCTCAAACTTGCTCTTGGTTTCTTTTGACTTGTATTAGCTATGAAAGTCTGAATCGAGATTCTTTGTTGAGCCAATCTCTGGAAGAGGATTGTGGGTTGGCTCTCTAAACTGATAAGGATTTGTGGTGGAGAATTCAATAGAGAAAGCAACAAAGAATCAGTTGCTTCTAAAGCAAACTCATCCAATGGGTATTGGGGGTGTTCAAAACCGGTTAACCAATTTTGTGAACCAACCAATTAACCGATTTTGTGAACTGAACCGGTTTTTCAGTTCAGGAATTTTCCTGAACCAAAACCGAACCAATTAAGGGGAAAACCAGTTAGTAAAAATCGGTTAACCAGTTTTGATTTAATATTTAATATATTTTTATAATAAACTAGATTTTTTTATATATTTTAATTTAATATTTTTATAGTAAATTGGTTTATAAAACCGGTTCCCATATTCTCGTAAACCGGTAATCGAACCCAAAAATTGGTTTTTTTATTTCTTTGAATCAAAATCGAATTTGGTTACTAGTTTGATTTGGTTTTTGCATTTTCTTGACCCCTAATGGGTATTTGATAGAAAGGCAATATTTTCATTTATATTCAAACAAGTTGTAATTGAAGCACTACGTTTTCAGTGAGGAGAACATTTCTTATGTGGGTGGCCAGTGCAATACTTTCGTTCGGCATACGAATAGAAGTGCATGATTTAATGGATGTATGGGAATGAGAAAAATATTAGGGGTTACAAATGATATGATCACTAGTCCCTGAATTAATTATCCAGATGTCATCTTTAATAATTTAGGCAAAAAGATGTACTTGCTTAAGATGCCATAGGTGCTTGTGTAATTTGATTTTGCATTTGAAGTAACTGATTGTACTATTCTGTGCTGATCATGAGTGTTGAAAGTTGGTTTCTAGCAGGAGCGATGGTAACTTGATGAACGGACGAGTTGCCAATTTTGTCATTGTTGGTCGTATTGGGATGCCCATGTAACTTCTTGTAATTATCTCGAGTATGATTTTTTCTTATAATATTCACAAAACAGTTTTCCTTTTCCCGCTTTGAAGGATGCAAACCCGTTTAACCATTTAAACATGTTTGACTAGTTTGACCCATTGGACCAGTTGAACACATTTGACCCTCTGTGTGATGTGGTTGCATGAGCACTATTGGATCCTTGTAAAAGAGAGTAATTTATGACCGTTGGATTGCAAAACTTGATTTGGGCCGTTCGTTCTTTCATATAAAAGGACATCATTTGCAAGGTTTGGAAGCCCTAGTCTCTTACTCAATTTTTTTTCTTTGAAGCCAATTAGGCTGAGGATGCTGTCTGTGCACCAACAAAAGCAACGACGTTGCCAAAATGAGCATTGTCTATAATAACCCACCGTTGACTCTTCTCTTTGATGGCTAATTAAAAAATGCGGTGAAGGCCAAAATTTTAGTTTTGAACGGAAGGAAAGCCTCGTTGAGGCCGAGGAGAAAACGGCTGAGCCGTTCTTGGTCATGAATTCTTTTTAATTGATTGAGGGTTGTCGGCGGTCCATCAAAGATCTCTTCGACCATGTCTAATGCGGTCCACATGATGGATAACTTGTTGAAATACGCCTTGACCGTTGAATTCCCTTGCTTGATGTTGGCACATTGTTGCCAAAGAGGAAAATTTTAGCCAAATTTAACTTTCCATACGTATCCTTTATGTTTGTCCACATTTCAACAACTATTTTAGTCGATGGCAGTTTGACCGTCACTTCCGAGGATAAATAGTTGCTGATCCAAGGTTTGACCAGCATGTTACATCTCTTCTAGTGACAGTGGAGATCTAATTCGATTGGTGGTTGGACTATGTCATCAATGAAACTTTCCTTGTCCTAGGTTATGAGGGCTTGTTGGAAATTGTGAGCCGAGGTGGTATAGTTGTCGGATCCGGTTAATGGTTGTTTGATAAGGACCAGTTCCTTTCCATTTGAGGCCAGTGCATACAACACATCACCTGGTTTAGGGCTATGGTTGATGATGGAAGCATTTGGAAAGTAAACGAGTAGGAATTCGTACTTGTTTGGTGAGAAAGACCCGGGTTGTAATCCGTTATGCCAAAAGGGTATGGAAATGGATTTGGGCTTGGTTCGATGGAGGATGGATTTGGGCCAGTTGTAAGGTTTGGGCTAGTTGAATTTGGGTCATTTGGAGATGGATTTGGGCTGGTTTCAGAAGGATCAGAAACCAGGCCTAGGGCACCCAAAGTTGGGCATGGTGCTGGATTCACTATGGGTTCATTTTGGGCCTGCAAGGGTGGGCTTTGTTCTATAGGGTTTGTGTTTGGATTGGTTGCAATATGGATTTTGAGGAGATTGGTTGTTCTAACCCAGTATTTATGTCTTTTTGTAGGGATAGAAAAAAGTGGTTAGATTCAAGGATTCTAATTGAATATATGTTTGATTTTGCAGGGACAAAACAAAAATTTAGAAGAGTAGAAGTTGGATTAGGTTGAGATGCTCTAATGCCATGTTAGAGTTTGATAAGAATGGCAAGGAAGAAACAAGGATTGCTAGAGTATGCCTAAAGAGAGAAGAAATAACAGAGAACTTTTATGTTTTGTATATTTTGTATACTTGTACGTTGTCCAATTTGTACAAAAATTTAGGTGTAAGAATGTAAATACAATCTTGTAATAAAGTCATAATTACATAAAATCAGGAAGACTGATGAAACGTAATATCTGGAATCAAGGTGTAATCACAGCATTCTGGAATCAAGGCATAATCACAACATTCTGGAATCAAGGCTTAATCACAACATTCTATATTCCATCATTATCACTTTAGATCATGCTCGTTGGTCCAGAAAGCTTCTACATCTAGAGCTTAAGTTTGAACAACCATTACTAATTTGCTTCAAACAAGTTCTTTATCAAGCCTTAAGCTACTTATTTGCTCTAAAAAGCTTTTGCATCATGAATTCAAATCTAAACAACATCTTCTGATTTGCTTTAGACAGATTTTATATCAAGTTTTAATCAACTGATTTGTTCTAAGGGGGCGTTTGGTTCAGGAATATTAGATTACTAGGAATGTTGGATCACTGGAAAGATAGATTACCTTGGAAGATTATTGGGAATCTTAAGAAAAATGTGTTTGATTAGTTGGTGGGTATGTTATATTAATATGTTTGGTTATGGGGAATAAATTGGTGGGTATGTTATTTAAATTACCAAATTGTCCCCTTTTCAAATATTAATATAATATTATTTTTATTATTAATTTTTGAATAATTTCTTTTAACCCCCAATATTTCAGATTTAGTTAAAACACTCCCGCTTATATAAAACTTTAATTTATTACGAAATCACCCCCACCACCTGCCGCCACCATAGACCACCATCGAAAGTCTTCGAAAGTCCCCATCAGTAGCTGACCGTGACTAAGAGGCTTCGATATGGTCGTTTTCGGCCATATTGATGGCCGAAATGGACATATCAGGTCAGATCTAGTCGCTAACGGCCATATCCCTGGCCATTATCAGTCATGGACCTGGCCGTTAGCGGCCATATCTATTCCGGCCAGGTCCATGGTCGTTAACGGCCAGATCTCGTCCAGATCTGGCCGATAATGGCCAGGGATCTGCCCGTTAGCTGCCAGATCTGGCCTGATATGGCCATTTTCGGCTATCAATATGGCCGGAAACGGCCATATCGAAGCCTCCTGGAGTTTCCTGGTGATTTCCGGCGGCAGCCCATGGTGGTTGGCCGCTGTCGGTGGTGGTGGCTGGGTGGCAATGGTGGTGGCGGCTGGGCGGCAATGGTGGTTTGTAAATTATTTTAAATATAAGGGCATTATTGTCCAAAATTTTAATTAAACAGGGATAAAATTGAAATAGGATATTAATGTAAATTTGTTTTAAAGTAGGGGTATTATCGTCCAAAATTTTTATTAATAAGGGATAAAATTGTAACAAATAAAAATAACCCTAGTAATCTCAAAATATCTAAGAAAATAGAGGTAATCAGATTACCTCCGATATTATCAATAGTAACCACTATTAGTATTTGAAGATTACCGGTATCTTATATTACTTGACAATCAAACATGATAATCAAGTAATATAAGATGATATTACCCCAGTAATCCCATATAATCCCCAACCAAACGCCCCCTAAAAAGATTCTATGTCAAGAGCTCTAGTTTAAAAAGTCTGTCCATGGGTCAACATCATTTGTTAAAAATTACTTTTTGTGACAGACTTACGATGACCGTGACAATTATTTTAGAATTAGTCATAAAAGCACTGATCTAGATTAAAATCTGTTTTTTTTTTATATTGTAATACTAGGTCATCAAAAAAAAAAAAAAAAAAAAAAAAAAAAAAAAAATCCTTAAAAACTATAACACGTTGTAGACATCAGTGTTTTCATATTGGCTTCCATGGTCTTCCAGTTGCTCCGGTATTTTAATAAAAAGATTGTTCAACAAAAAGATTAATATGGCTCAAAAAACATCAATCTATTATTAAACAAATCAATTGATTCTTTTGTCAAACCAAGAAACAAATCAATAACACCAATCTCTTAATTTTTTTAATATATTGTTATATATCCGTAAACAACTTAATGTCTGTAAATTAATAAAATAGGGCAGTGTTAAAAGCTTTTGGAAGTTGTTGAAAGAATCTTTGGATGAAAAAACATAATAATAATTTTAGAAGCAACTAATTTTGACCATATTCTAAAATGAAAGTGATGGAGTTGTAGGGCTAATTTGTAATTGCTTTGTCACAAGAATGTCTATATATTGACCTATACACTTAACTTGAAATATAGAGTAAGGAATTGTAGTTGAAAGAAAAAAGAAATGTGGAAGCTGAAGTTTTCAGAAGGAAATGATGGATGGATTAAAAGTGTAAACAATCACATAGGCAGACAGTTCTGGGAATTCAAACCAGAGCTTGGAACTCCTGAAGAAAAAGCACAAATTGAAAGACTTCAGAATCGCTTCACCAAAAACCGTTTTCAACAAAAACATAGTTCTGATCTCATTATGAGATTTCAGGTAACTAATTATTAAGATTATATATATGTAGTTTGTTATATGAGATGCATCAATTAGGTTTAGATTTATTAATGTTTGTATGTAGTTTGCAAAAGAGAATCCAATAGAGAAGATGGTGCTTCCTGATCTGATGAAAATAAAAAGTGAAGAAGAAATAACAGAGGAAGTGGTGAGAAATACATTGAGAAGAAGTCTGAGATTCTATTCAACTCTGCAAACTGAGGATGGCTTCTGGCCTGGTGACTATGGTGGCCCTCTCTTTCTTCTTCCAGCCTTGGTATGCATGCTTCTATTTCGTTTTTATCAATATTACATTAAACATTTATTATTTTTAAAAATATATGAAAAATAAACTCAAATTAATTCTGTAAAAATAAAAGTATAATGTTGGATTAATCCTATAATACATGTTAGCGTTTTCATTAAAAGACACTTAAGTATCGTTGGAATCAAGAAGACCCAAGTATTAATTAATTTGTTTGAGAAAATCATTTTGTTGTTATCATATAAAGTGACAAAAACAACATACTGCATGCGGAGATAGGCAGATAGCAACCTTCTCATAAAAAATAAAAGACTAAACGACATATTCCCACCCAAGGTTTGACGAAATTCTCAGTTGGTATCCCAAGTTATATTTATTCTAGATTCCCACCCTTAAAATAATAGTGTTAGCAATTTTTAGGGTTTAGAGGGTGCAAGTACCATAATGCCCTTAACCCCAAATTAATAAATCATGTTTTAACCCCTAAATTAGTAGAATTATAAAACTTACCATTTTATTTTCAAATTATGTCAAAAACACCCTCAGTCACTACAGACCCTCATCAGAAACAGCCCGATCTGGGCTATTTCTAACGACGTCAAACCCCCTGGTCATCTCCATCACCTTCCTTGTAGTCCCTCCAATCGTCGGCGTCGTTAGGCTTAGGGTTTCGGTGTTCTTCACTGGATTCCGGTCGATTTTGACGGCGAAAATCCAATTGGACACCACCAATGCAATCATCGTCTCTAAATCTATAAAACCCCCTAGCAACCATTTCATCGCCGCTCGCCGGTCGAGAGTTTGTGTTCATCAGCCCTTTTTTGGTGAAGTGGTGGATGGCAAACGGTAAGCTGTCGTGGTTGGGAAGGGTAGGGGTTTTGTAGGGGAGGATACGAGGAGTCAAAATGGTGGTGGTGGTTGGGGTTGTCGCTGTTCAAAATAGCTGAAAACCGACAAAAACTAGTAGCATGTCGCGGTTGTCGTGGCCGGCGATCGACGAGTGATGAGGGGTTGTGAAGGGTATGGTTTTGTAGAGGGGAGGATGAGGGTTCAAATGGTAGTGACAAGGGTGATTTTGGGTGGAAGAATTGTTGAAAAAAGGGCAAAAAACGTCGGGGATGCCGTCTACTAACATGCGCTAGAGGAGTGTTAGAGGTGACGGTCTGCTAATGTGCACCTCCCATGTAAAATGACCAATTTACCCCTTTATCGTTACATCAAACATTTTTTGATCACTTTAAGGGTGAGAATTTGGAATAAATGTAACCTGGGGTACCAACTTAGGATTTCGTCAAACTTTGGGTGGGAATATGTTGTTTACTCAAAATAAAATAAGAAATAATAAATTAGATTATTTTCCTTTTCACAAAATGGTCCCTATATTGTCACAGTCACAAACTTAGTATATTTATCTTTTCTTTGATTTTTTTAAATTGAAAACTTAATTATTGTAGACTTTCAAATATTTAACTGCATGCATGAATATTATTTATAGTTGAATTAATTTATCCATCATTTGTCGTAAACTTGCTCAAGATATGTTAAATAATAAATCTAATTTAATCATAAAAAATGTTTTCTATTGGCCATGGATCTAAATGAGATAGTTACACTTGGCTAAGTTGCTTGTAAGAGAACCAATTTTCAATGAACCGACAGGGTTTATTAAGTGAAGTTATTATTTGGTACAAAAAATAATCAGAGAATATGATGAGCTTGCTTATAAGAATGAACAGTGATCTTCCAAATCTTTTATGGCACATTATTTAAATATTTAACTACAAGTTTTATCATGCACGAGGTGATAAATTAGTTTTATTTATTTATATTGTTTAGGTGATTGGCTTATTTGTTACGGGAGCCTTGAATACAATACTACATCTGGAATACCGAAAAGAGATGCTTCGTTATCTATATAATCATCAGGTATTTTTTTTTTTTTTCTTTCACTCAAATTATATATATAATAAAATTTATATTATAATGGAGAATTATAGCTTTAGTAATATATATTGTCCAATTATGTCATTGGGGTTAATTCCAACCTAATTATTTAATGGGGAGAACGACATTTTCCCACCCAAAGTTTGGCGAAACGACATTTTCTCACTCGTCAAGTTTCAAAATGACACTTTTTCACCATTTGTCAAGTTTTGTTAGTATTTACTGTTAATATTTGACTGAAAAAACGAAAATATCTTTAAATAGTTTCTTTCTTATTAGTTTATTATAAATTAAAATTTAGTTAAGTCAAAGTCTTTACTCGATTATTTATTAGTTCAAGTGTAAATATTTTTTTTTCCTTTGTTTATTTAATTAATTAGGAATATTGATTTTTTATGTTAATTGGTAAAAATGAAAAACATTATAAATTTAGTAGATTATTGAATAATAGTGATGAGATATAGATGACATTATAAATAAATGAATATTAAGGTCATTTAACTTTAAACAATTCCATAGCATTACTCTTAACTTTTTAGGTGGGGTTAACTATTTTTTCTTTTTTGATTTTTTGGCTAAATAAAAAATAATAAAAATTTTATAAAGTCATTTTGTTGAAAGGTATTTTTGTTTTATCAGTAAAATATTAACGGGAAACATAACAGAACCTAACGAAGGGTGAGAAAGTGTCATTTTGAAACTTGAAGGGTGAGAAAGTGTCATTTGGCCAACCTTGGGTGAGAAAATGTTGTTCTCCCTTATTTCATGCCTAAAGATAGTAATATCATCTAGAATACTAGAACCAATTTAGATTTGAACCCATGATTATACCATATAGTTTCTGTCGATACAATCTATATGATAAATAATAAATTCATATAGAAAAATAAATAAATAAGAATAAAACGAATGCTATGAGATGAATAAGTGGCAGAGCCAGGAATTCAAGTGAAGATGGGCAAATTAAAAAAAAAAAAAAATGATATAATTTATAATTTTCAATGTATAATGATAAATATTAAAACATTATCACTATTGATAATATTTTTATTCAATATAGTTACAAATTTTTTTGACGTGTTTTAATATTTCCTAAAGATAAACTAAATTAAAAACCATTTAGAATAGAATTTCTAATATAATAAGAGATTTATAAAAATTATGAGTTTTTTCCTTTTTTTAATTTTCAGGGTTGGTGTTGGTGCTGGCTCTGTCATTGAGATTAACTATGTATGAAGGACCATTAACAAATGACCTAAATACAGAAATGTTTTGATTAATTTATATTAGTTTAAACCTTTCATTCTTGTTCGTTCATTTTAATTAAAAATTATACTATAACTGAGTATACTTAACCCTTGATATTTAATAAACAAGTTATATATAATTTAACATATGGTCTTTTATATTTTAATATATTGTTGTGAATTTCAAATTTATTGTTATAAATTTGATGTTTGACATTCTATTATGAGTAAGAAGTTAAATCAATACCGAAAAATATTATATCACTATTTCTAAATTTAACAATAATAATAACCATATTGTAGAACAAAGATGGGGGTTGGGGATTACACATAGAAGGATGCAGCACAATGTTTTGTACAGCGCTCTCCTATGTGGCTTTGAGATTACTTGGAGAGGAAATGGACGGTGGAGATGGCGCCGTAGAGAACGCACGAAAATGGATCATTGATCGTGGTGGAGTCACGTCCATACCATCTTGGGGAAAGATGTGGCTTTCGGTATGTTTAATTGTTTTTTTTCTCGTCATTATACAGTATTACTATAATTAATTTCTTTAATAAATGGGTGTTGAATCTCCTCAATTATAGTATTTTTTTTTTTTATCATAATTTGAGTAAATAATTAATGGAATCAATTAAATTATGAATGCATATAACTCTAGCTAAAAGGAATAAAATGTATTGCAGATACTTGGTGTATACGAGTGGAGTGGCAATAATCCTCTACTTCCTGAGATGTGGCTTCTCCCTCACTTTCTTCCCATTCATCCAGGTTTCAATTCTCTATTTCTCTTTATTTTCTATTAAAAAAAAATAAAGTGTATTAATTTAATTTATAATAGATTTAATATAAATTTGATGATAGTAATGGAAATGCAGGACGGATGTGGTGTCACAGTCGCATGGTATATTTGCCAATGTCATATTTGTATGGCAAAAGATTTGTGGGACCAATTAACTCTCTTATTGTTTCTCTTAGGAAAGAGCTTTACACTTTTCCTTATCACTATGTTGATTGGGACCATGCCAGGAATCAATGTGCCCAGGTATTCTTTAATTCTTTCTTTGTCTTTTGTCTCTATCTCAATTATATTTCTTAATTAATTTTGTTTGTACTTGGACTTATTATTAATTGAAGTTTTTGCATTGACTATTTATTAGGAGGACCTTTACTACCCTCACCCAATGATACAAGACATAATGTGGGGTTGCATTGACAAGTTTGTGGAACCTCTTCTAATGAAATGGCCTTTGCGTAAGGTGATGAGAGAAGCTGCTCTCAAGACAGTAATGAAACACATCCACCATGAAGATGAAAACACTCAATATATATGCCTTGGTCCTGTTAGTAAAATACTCAACATGGTGTGTTGTTGGGTGGAGGACCCTAATTCTCAACCATTTAAGCTTCACCTTCCAAGAATTAAAGACTATCTTTGGATAGCTGAAGATGGAATGAAAATGCAAGGTTACAATGGATCTCAATTCTGGGATGTTGCTTTTGCTGTTCAAGCCATCCTTTCTACTAATCTTGTTGATTCAGAATATGTCGCTTCCTCCATGCTTAAGAAAGCACACTATTTCATCAAAAACACTCAAGTATGAGATCAATTTGGATATTAGAAATTCACCTTTGTTTCTTTATACTTCATTTGAAAACTAATCTATTTTCAATTTAAATTAGGTCCCAGCAGACAGCTCTGGTGATCTAAGTTCTTGGTATCGCCACATTTCCAAGGGAGGATGGCCTTTCTCTACCCCAGATAATGGTTGGCCTGTATCCGATTGTACTGCTGAAGGATTAAAGGTACTCCAATTCTCAATTACTTCTTAATTGTATATTTTTTAATTCATTTATCTAAATTAAGTTTTAAACTAATCCTATTATATAGGCAGCAATTTTATTGTCACAAATGTCATATGATATTGTGGGAGAAGCAATACCAGCAACTCAATTATACGAAGCTGTTAATGTTATTTTATCCTTACAGGTATCACTCAATTAAGCATGCAAATGAATTGATTTAATTATACAAGAGACTATCGAATAAAATATTGTATGAATTATATTACAGAACAAGAATGGAGGTTTTGCGTCATATGAACTCACCAGATCTTATGCATGGTTGGAGGTATGTAATTCATAAATATTCATCTCTCCTTGGATTCCTCAAATTAAATTATTTAAAGTTCTAACCACAGTAAAATATATATGCCTCTATTTCAGATCATGAATCCGGCTGAAATATTTGGCGATATTATGATAGATTATCAGTAAGATCATATAACTCGATAAATTTATCAATAAGAATCGTATAATTTAATGGTGATTCAAATAATTAGTTCAAACTTAACACATATACAGGTATGTGGAATGCACATCAGCAGCAATTCAAGGTCTAAAGTCATTCATGAAAAAGTATCCAGGCCATCGGACTAAAGAAATACAAATATCTATTGCAAAGGCAGTCGAGTTCATTGAGAGCATACAACTAGTAGATGGTTCATGGTAAACTATTTATTAGTTAATTCCCAGCTTCAATTTTTTGTTTTTTTAAAGAAAAAATTGTTGACAAATTTTCTTTAAGGGTATAAAATATGCTTATATGAGGCAGTTTTCTATCTCGCCATGCTAATATAGAAAGATTGTTTGATTAAAATTGGTCAATGTAACTTTACAGATGATAGTTTTCTTTTTATCCAATTTTTAGTTTCATGATTCATCAAGAACCATCACCATGATTGATTAACAATTTCTACTATATTGATATTATCAATATATTATATTCTATAATATTAACTATGTAATTAGAAGTATATGATTAAAAGACTTTTGTGAAATGAATAAAAATAGGTATGGGTCGTGGGGAGTGTGCTTCAGTTATGGAACATGGTTTGGGATAAAAGGGTTGGTGAGTAGTGGAAAGACATATGAAAGTAGCCATTGTATCAGAAAAGCTTGTGAGTTTTTACTATTAAAACAACTACCTTCGGGTGGTTGGGGAGAGAGCTATCTTTCAAGCCAAACCAAGGTAAATCTACCCTTTTCTCTATTTCTTTATTTATTCTGTAATATATATGTTATTTTAATTGTTTTCTTATAAACAGGAATACACAAATCTTGAAGGAAACAAACCACATATAGTAAACACTGCATGGGCAATGTTAGCTCTCATTGAAGCTGGCCAGGTACATATAAATAATATATGCTTTTGCTTTATTATACAAAATAAACACAATCACTTATTCAAAATTGAAGAAGGTTATTCTTTGTGGATTAGGCCCATAGAGATCCAGCTCCATTGCATCGTGCAGCTAAGGTGCTAATTAATTCACAAATGGAAAATGGAGATTTCCCACAACAGGTAACTAAGACACTTTACTGTTGAGGTGCAAGTTTCCTTTATGTAAATTGATACTAATAACAAAGTAGACGCCATGCTTTATTTCACTATGCATTGACTAGTTTGTAATATAGAAATAAATGACTTTATAAAATGAAACATATTCTTAATTTCAAAGAAATTAATGTGTTCACTCTTCTTTATATTTTGATAGGAAATCATCGGAGTCTTCAACAAGAATTGTATGATAAGTTATTCAGCTTATAGAAATATCTTTCCCATATGGGCTTTGGGAGAATATCGCAATCGTGTGTTGCTGTCTTCTGAAAGATATTAAATGTAGAGATTAAAGCCAAAATAACACTACACATAATGAAGGGGTAAAAATGCAAGATGCAATATAACAAGTTTATGTTGAAACATATTTTAAGTGGCAACCTAAATGCTTATGTAAGGCTAAATGATAATGCAATGTAATTTATGGGTTTGTATTTCAATTCCTCAATGTAACTTTTTGTTCCTATATTAAGCTATGGGTAGTGGATCTAGAAACTACTATATAATGTAGGTCAAACTACTCAACCATGTGATAAATAGATTGTATTTATGGTGCCCATCTAACTAGGGGTGAGTGGGTTCGGATACCCTGGTTGAGAACTAGGAACTGGAACATACTTGAAAAGTATCAATTCCTATTTCCTACCTTGGAACCTACCTTGTCGAGTAAGTTCTGGTTCAATGGTACCATGTACTGTTCAATTTTTTTTTTTTTTTTTGGTAAACCAGTAATTATAAAAAAGAATTACAACCTAAGAAGGGGACTTCCCTTTAGAGCCGAAAATCTTGGACATGCCCAAGAAATCGAAAAACAAAAAGAGCCAATAGCATCAAGGATATACAATCCTTATACACAAAATCAACATAAGCACAAACCAATCAAGCTGCAAGATCTGCAACAATATCCCAGCATCTGTACAAACTGCTACATGCTAATTCTATAAATCTCCCAGCAGTAGAAAACAAGTTGAAGAAGTCTCTTTAGAACAACAAAACCAGCACATACTGCACAGTCTTCCCAACAATTAGCATAATTAGCATTCTCCCATAAGCTGCATAACCTGCAAAGTGTAGATTCTTGTAGCCGCAAGCCTTTGCCAGCACTCAAATACCTCCAAAACACACTTGGGAGAAGTAAAGAAGCATAAACTGTGTTAGTGTATGCCCTAGGAATCAATTGTGTTATCGGTTTCAGGACATGATGCATTGTAAATATTTTATTAATAAAAGAAAGTATTCTTATTTCACATGTTAATTTATTGCTTATATATATTGCATGTGAAATATTTGGATGATACAGGTCATCAGAAGATCAAATCATTACAGCATTCCCTACGTAAGTAATGTTAGTTGGACAATGACATTACATACTAGTAGACATGGACATTTGGAATATGACCGATTACGATGATACATATGGACATTTGAAATGTGGTCACCGATACATCTTAGAATTGTACTAGTGTACCATTGATCCTTAGACTTTGAGACTTCATGGTTGGATTTGACATAAGATGCATACAGTTCATTTGGTGTATAAGCATGAGACTAGTTATATTTTGTGCAAGAAGCCGGTTTGGTCATATGTTATTCATGTGTGAGGACAAGTCATGGTCAAGATAGAATCCATTGACTTAAAATAGTTTGATCTCGAGTTCCCAATTGAATGTCAATAGAAACTGGAAAAAAGAAATCTCTGGCCAGAGTATAAAATGTCACATGTAAAATAGTTTCATGATGACATGTTCAATTGTATTGATTAACGATTCAATTATAGATTAAGTTAAGGCTTTTGACGTACTATGAACTCATTCTTAATCGGGATTAGACGACGGAGGATTTTACTATATGGAACATACGATTGAAAAAGGTTTATTGGATTTTAATTTCATTGTGGCTTAAGGTTATGGAGCATTGCTAGATGCCTACCATGACCGGTGGGAGTTTCAATCATAAAAAGTTTTGACAAAATATATCGTAATATGATATTGGGCCCATAGCTAGACCTAGCAAAACTGGTGGGTGGGCCGGGTACGGGTCCAAAATATTGGACCCGTGCCTTACCCTATACAGGTACGGTTAGACCCGCTGGTGGACCCATTTTTTCTCTCTCTAGATTTTAGCTTTTCTTTCACCCCTAACAGTTTTCAATTATGATAGTTACACCCCCAAAATTCCTGCAATTTTAATTTTTTACATTTACACCCCCTAAATCAACTACTCTAAATTCAATTCAATTTTGACTTAATTTAGATACATAAACATTCCAACATTTTTCTTAGGAATCATGTTATATTGGACCCCACGAAGTGTTAGTGCCTTCAATTACTACTGTTCACTTCTCCATGTCTCATTCTATATCAAACACTAATTCATATATTACAATATCAAAGTAGAAACTTCAGTCCAAAAATCAGTTTGTTTGATACAGAACAGAGGAAAAGACAAATAAGGGAACAACACCAAGACTAGTCTATTGGATGATTATGCATACAAGCTAGAAATTAGAATGTCGGTAGAGAAGAAATCCTAAACACAATTTATTTTAGTCCAAAAAGGTAATAAAACTGGACTAATGGAAATAAAAATATAATCGTAAAAGAGGAATTAGACTCACTTTAAACAAAACTTAAAAGTTAATTACTAACAAATATCACATAGAAGGAAAGAACTGATATCCCAGCATATGTATATACAACATTACAGAAATTCACTAACAACACTCGGATTAAGAAAGAATGAACAAAATCCAGAAATAACATGATAGACAATAACAACAGTTAAAAACTCTAAATCTTCTCTCTTATTTCAAGCATTATTGAAAAAAATTGCCATATCCAGTCACCATATTTCAGAACATATCAACATGGAATCACACACAAGTTCACAAGTATTAAACATAATCTAATCCACCCATAACCTTACACTAAATGAACACCTAGAAAAAAATACGGAGAAAATCAAGAAATACCCAAATAAGAAAACTTGAAGATAACACAACCCATTTGTATATTAATCCTTAACAATCCAAGAACTTTAAAATCCCAAATATTTCAAAAAATAAAAAAGGAAAAAGACAAAACCCATATGGCTAAAGTTATAATACATTGCGAAGAGAGAAATGCATAAAAAGTAAAGCTGTTTATTCCTTGCAGCATTCAAATTGTTTACCAGCCGACGACATCAAAGAGAGGAGATGAGCTGATGAGGATGAGTGACGGCGGGAGTACTCAGTTGACTGATAAAGTGATGAGAGATTGAGAGGCGTGAGAGACTTGAGTTACTGAGAGTTAAGAGATGAGATGCGGTCGTGAGACTGAGAGTGAGAATGAGAGGCGCGCGTGATAAAATTAGGGATTCATTTCAGATTTGGAAAAACGGGTACCCACAGGTGCCCGCAGGTTCACCCGTATAACCCGTCAGTTATACGGGCTGGGCCGGGTATGGGTCTAAAAAAATGGGTATAATATTTTAGACCCGTACCTTATATTTTTTATCCGGGTACTGGCCAACCTGCGGGTGTGGACCCGTTTTGCCAAGTCTACCCACGGCTAGGTCACAATGAACCTAAGTGGTCACATATAAAAAAAAAAAAAAAATACTAGGAGAGAGTAATACATATCGTTAAAAGGTTAACGATGTTTGGATGTAAACGTATGCATCCGAATTTATGTATTGTTAGGGCCAAAAAATGTCCTCGGTCCAAATAGGCCCAAAGACAAAGACTTTCAACAAAGCTTGAGACTAGGGCCCAATTCTTATTGGGCCTGCAATAGAGTTTGCATATCAGGTCCGTTCGATACACCTACCTAGGTTCTCACTAGTTGGACCCAATAAAGGCCTAATTTGTTTAGGCCTCACCGCCTGTTTATCTAGGCCCGGGCCCTTTGATCCTAGACCACCTTCTGAACTTAGGATCTAATTGGAGCCCAAGGTCACCTACTTACCCCGATACTATCTGAACGCTATCGAAGAGGTCTATCATTACCCTAATTCGTCTAAGATTCGTGTCTTAGACCCGTTGAGACTCCCTCTTCTACTGAGGTAAAGGAGCCAAAGGTTTTCCTTTTTCATGAAACCTCAACTGTAAGGACTCTCAGTCCTACCAAGATTCGAAGATCCTATAGTCGATATTTAAACAGAGACAACCCTCTTATAGAGGATATAGACATTACACCTTCAGACCCCGTAGTTCTCACTCTCGAGAATTTTGCATCACTGTCGTAGTTATAGTCTCCGACTAGGCTTCTGGTAACTTTCTCTCTCCCTAACCCTCACTAAATTAGACTCACTCGGCCTTGCTGACTTGAGCGTCGGAGTGCCTACGGCAAACACCACCTCGGTGTTTCTTGTTCGCTTCACGCTTGCTTTCTTGCGTGTGCAGGTACAGCGGATTGCTAGTGGCACAACCTCACGGGATCAGACCCTATTTTGGTAAAGGTAGATTTTTTGCATCTACATGTATTAGTGAGAAATGATTATTCATGGAAAGCTAGCATTTACCAAGGGCAATAAGGACATTTGGTCACTATTGGATTACATTCAATAATGGGCTAATATATAAAATGGGATTAAGTTATATGCCTTTGTTATAAATTTGTTTAAACCAAAGACTTACTATTAAATTGAAATTGTTTCAAGAACCTAGGAACAATAATGAAATTGTATTAAAGAGTTAATAACAATTTGAAATTGTTTGTATTGGTCCAAGTATATAAATGTTTAGAAATCTCATTTTAACGCAATTTTTGCAAGATTGTTTATCTCACTCAAACTCATTGTCTTGGCTCTCTCTCTCTCTCACACTATTTGGGTTGATCACATTTAGAGGATTTTCATGCTCTTTTGAAGACCTTGGAACTCCTTTGAAGCTTCAAAGGTTGTAAAGCTAAAAAAGGTACAATTTCTACCCTAATTAGTGTAAAGAACATGCATTATAAACCTTTTACCATATCTACCATCTTTCCACCATTTTTATCTCTCCCCCCACCTGTAACACCCAAACATTGAGGTACATGATTTAAATTATGTTGTATAGCCCTTAGTTAAATTTTGTTAGAATTATTTTAAGAGAATATGAAGAAAATGCCTTAAACTTGCATTAAGGGTAAAATAGTCTTCTCACTCAAAACTAGTTGATTTTGTGGGGAGTGAAAAGAGATAGAAAATCATAGAGAATTCAATAAAAGTGAAGGCATTTTGGTAATTGACTCAGGGACAAAGATGGAATTTCTAGGAAAGAGTAAGGGCAAAATGGGAAAGTGAGTTTATAAACTAAAATGTTAAGGGTTTGAAACCCTTATTTCGTTCATACCACCCCCACACTCCTCCTCCTTTTTCTCTCAAATTTTCATTTACTTTTCCAAGGAATTTGAGGGCTTTTGAGTAGATTTTCATAGGGTTTTGATTCAAGGCATCAAAAGGTAAGGATTCATGCTCTTTATTCATGTTTTATTTGTGTAAAAGTTGAGTTCTTATGAAGTTTATGCTTAGGGTTAAGAGAAGATTTGAATCCAACAAGAGTAGAGAGCTTAGGAGAGACTACTCAA